GCCGGATTTTGGTTACCCCCCCCCCCCCCCCTCTCCCCCCCTCGGATGCGTGGTCAATGACTACGGCATGCACGGCTATGAGTACCGCCACTCTCCACCAAACGCCATCCTCGAGCTGTATTTAGCCTTCCTTGAAGCAGGCAAAGGCATGCAAAACATCAGGATGTCCCGCTAAACTAAGCCTTCGTTGAACTGTGTATGTCCAGGCGAAGCTGCTGCTACGCATGCTTGCGTACATGAGCGAGAGCATCAAGGACGCCTTCATGGTGGACGAGCTGAGGGCTCGAATCGCGCAGATGCTGGGCTACTTCCTCGACCACCTGGTCGGCAGGAAGAGCAAAGACCTTAAGGTGCGGAGAGCGGGGCGTTGAGCAGCGGCAGTGGGCGTTCTTTATTTTTATTTAAACTCATGGTGAAGGGGGGATTTTTTGTGTAAATGCTGCTGTGCCTTCCAAAAAGATAATTTAGGAAATGATCATATAGGTGAAACAACTCATTTCAACGTTTGTTGTTACAAACAAAAATGAACAATCGTTGGGGGAAAGTTTGTGTTAGAACGGGCCTAAATTTTCTTTTTTTCTCATCAGGTGGAGAACATGGCCGAGATCGGTTGGCGTCCCCGGGAGGTGCTGGGTACCCTGGTGGACGTGTACCTGAGCCTTTCTGCGTGCCCCCCCTTCGCGGAGGCAGTCGCAGGAGACGAGCGGTCGTACAAGAGGCAAGCAAGTGTTTTTTGTTGTGGAGTCCTTGTCGCACCCACCACTCGTTAGGCGGCACCACATGGCACCGACAGTTCCCAACCCCGTCACTTGTGTAGTTGTCGTGCCCATCACCCGTCGTGTACATTCCTTCACGTGCACGGACTGCTCGGCTGCTTCCGTGCTGAGAGGGGGTCTGTGTATTTGTCGTACCCACCCATCACTCCTCGTGTATATGGTTTAACATGCACTCACTGCTCGACTGCTTCCGTGCTTACAGGGTTCTGTTTATTTGTCGTACCCATCACTCATGGTGTAACATGCCTCCCTGTGCACTCACTGACTGTTTCTGTGCTTATCAGGGATCTGTGTGTTTGTCTTACCCATCTTACCCATCACTCATGGTGTACATTCCCCCCTGGGCTCTGGCTGTTTCCGTGGTTATCAGGGAGATCTTCCTGCGTGCGGCAGATGTTATATCTAAAGTCCCTTCGGACGGCTCTCCCGCCAGTGAGCCCCGTGTGGTGGAGGCTTTCCGGGCATTCGCAGACAAGTGAGAGGGGGAGCGAGAGGGGGAGCAATAGAGACAGAGAGAGATGGAGTCGAGAGAGAGAGAGAGAGAGAGAGAGAGAGAGAGAGCTGTGCGGTGGACTTGTTGCTGCTGTGGTCCTGGTTCTTATACTCCATGTAACGTGTATACTCGATGGAGACGGCGGCATAATCCTTTTTTGGACATTGTTCTTTTTTATTCTTGGGGTGATTCTCCCGTATACATGTACGCTCGACAATGCAGAAATCGAGTACTTTTTTTCTTATTTTTTGTCAATGAGGCCCCCTGCCTTGGGGCTCCGTCTCGAAAGTCGATGCCGCCCCCGCCCCCCCACCGCCGCGGGTGAGGTGACCGACGGAAAATACACTACACGAGAAACCCCACTAGATGATAAACCCGATATCCCACCCTCCTCAACCCGGTGATGTCGTTTAGGGCCGAGGCTGCGTTCGTCGAGCTGTCGCAGGCAGCGGAGGAGCTTGGAGACATCCCGGACCGTTTCATGTGCCCGATCGGTTGCGATATCATGCGCGATCCGGTTACGCTGCCAACCAGCGGGCAGGTGATGCTTGTGTAGTAATAAGTAGCCTTCCCAGGGTTTTTCTATTACGCAAACATGTTGGACATAGCTAGCAAATCAGGGAAGTTGGGTTAGGGATACGGGTTTGCGTAGCCCCTCATTGCTCTGTCCTCATACACTAAATTTCTCGTGAAGGCGGTCCTGTTTGTGTGTGTGTGCTTGGTAGCACCGACCGCGCTATCCAATGAAAAGGCGTCAGTTTCAGTGATTTTAAAAACATAAAATGCTTCTAAAGGGCATGATCTGGGACCCCGTGAGGGTGTGTTGTGTGTTTGTTGGCACCGACCGCGCTAACTAGTGTAAGCTCATCAGTGTCAGTGCGGCTAAACACAAGACGCGTGTCCATGTTGATTGATACGATCGTTCTCACAGAGGTTAATGTCAACACACGTACCGCCTTGCCCCACCTCGCTCTCTTGTCTCGAATGTAGTACGAAGCGAGAGTCGGTGATCTGTAAGACTGCGGCCATGGACGACATCGAACACAACCCCGCTCCCCCTGCTCCGTCGTGTCGAGGACGCGTGGTAAATGGACTTACAGCGAAGGCATGCAAGACATAAGAGTACCCCCTCCCTCCCTTGCGGCGGGCGGTCTCGGAATCGACGGGCAGAACCAGGACAAGCACACCTCATGACCCCCCCCCCCCCCCCCCCTTGGGGGAGGTTCGGGTTCTGG